CGCTCTCTTCCTTGGGGACAAGAGACCTCTACATGGGTCCAATCATGCGCGTTTAATTGATGGAAACTCCGCCCCAAAAATATTTTGACCCCAGCCCTTTTTAATTGGTAGAGGGCCCGCAACTAGCGAGAGTGACAACCTGTCGGGTTGTTGTCATACGGCTTGGCCAACAGAGCGTTTCCCACGCTTTTCCCCGTGGGAACGGTCAACCACTTAGCTCTCAGTCGGTGCGTCTTGTAGTCTAATCCTTGCTCGGGGTATACCGCGGCCTTCTACGACCTTGCAGACGTCGCCACAGTTACAAAAGGATTAACCGTCGGCAGCGACGTCCTAAGAAGAGCACCCCATTTTGCACTTCTCGGATCCCTTTCATGCGCCGCCGTTTCTCACGTTCAGTCGGGGAGTACGGCGCCCGTTAATTGCCGTGACGCGGTGTCGCCAAAAATAGCCGTCCGTGACAGTGGCAAAGGGCTCCTAAAGTGTTTTTACGTAAGACAGAGAATCTATTACAATAAATGAGATAATGTTCAGTTGACTCATTTACTCTACAAACAGGAAAATGAGGGGAGGCTGCCAGACCAGCTCTGTGTAAATATAAGTTCAGCTGTGGAATTTGACAGCGCAGTCTAGTGATTGCGACTTCCGTTCCTCGAGTTTGACATATTTTACTATTCCAATGGTATAACAAGTGCTTGAATTCTGGTGTGGCTGTTAGTGAAGGTGTAGAAAATTCTTCTAACAGTAGGTTCCTTCTTAATCTAGCGCCTATCAAGAATTTTGATGGCGGTAATACATCAATAACAGGCCCATTTAGAGATGACTTGGCCAACGCATCTGCCGTTTCATTCATATAAATGCCCTTATGTCCAGGAACCCAGATCAGTTTGATCAGATTGAGATGCGAGGAAACTAATGCTTTGAATGCATTCTGAGCATGCGAGTTCTCATCTGCAGTAAGGGAGGCACATACTGATAGTGAATCTGTTAAAATAATTGCGGTTCTTACTGAACCAGTTATTTTACAGAGAGCTAAAGTTATCACGAAAAATTCTGCTTCAAATATGGGCCCATAATCGGGAAGGCGAAGCGAAAAGGATCAGTCTAGGGCAGGAGAAAAAATACCAATTCCACATTTTTCTTCCCTTTGTGACGCATCAGTCGCTATGTCTGCTTGCATTGGCGTATGCTCCAGGTAATCTCTTAATATAGCTTCTAAAAAACTGAGCGGCATCAATTTTGAATTTTTCGGAAATATATCATCAAACTGTAATTTAATAGCACTGTTATTGGTACTGATTAAAGGAACAGCATCAATTTGAGCATCTAAATTGATGATAAATTTGAACATCTAAATTGATGGTTCACCAGACACCGAGCGCAGACCACTCTTCGTCTTCTTCGTCCGACCCACACGCGCATCGTCCCACAAAATGTCAACATGCATGTAGCATAATCCCAGGCGGCAGAAGCGCCGTCTCAACGCATCTAGATCGTCAATGTCAGCGGGAGAGTGGTAAGGCTTCAAGCGTGCCACATGATATCAGTAGTCTGTGAGGCAGTTGGAGGCGATGAGGCGGCAGGGGTGACTTTGTATGTCACAGGAGTAACCTTACGAAGGACTCAATATGGACCTGTGTAGCGGGAAAGAAGTTTTTCCGACTAGCCGACTTGACGGATCGGGGACCAGAACAGCACCAATGAACCGGGTAAGAAGTGCACGTAGCGGTGTCGTTGATCGTACAAACACCGCTGGTTCTCTTGAGAGGCCAGAAAGCGAGTGCGGGCGATTTCGCGTGCGTGGGCAGCCCGAGTGATACCGTCAAGGGCATATTTGCTGGTCGGTGTCACGGTTGACGGAATGACAGTATCCAGGGGCAATGTAGGTTCTCGGCCGAACACCAGAAAAAACGGGGAGAAAGCGGCAGTGTCATGGCGAGAGAAATTATATGCAAATGCCACGTATGGCAAAGCAAGGTGCTAGTCAGAGTGGTTGGAAGAAACATACTTCGCAAGTATGTCTAAGTGTTCGATTCAGACGCTCCGCGAGTCCATTTGTCTATGGGTGGTACGACGTCGTAAGCTTGTGCCTCGTTTAACATGACTGAAGGGTATTGGCTATCACCTTTGATAGAGAAGTGCGGCCACGGTCTGTAAGCAGCTGGCGTGAAGCTCCATGTTGCAAGTTCACATCCTTTAGGAGGAAGTCGGTGACATCAGTGGCGCCGCTTTTTGGAAATGCTCGTGTGATGACGTAGTGCGTGGCGTAGTCTGCGGCCGATGCTATTTCGCTGTTGACAGAAGAAGACAAGGAAAAGGGCCCCAGGAGGTCTAAGCCAACTCGGAAGAAAGGTTCTGACGAAATATCAAGTGATTGAAGGTGCCCGGCGAAAAGCATCGATGGTGTTTTGCGGCGCTGACATTTAGCCTAGCCGCAACGTATCTTTTGACTGAGCGTCTGGCCAAAAGAAGCGTCAGCGAATCTGGTCGTAAGTGCGTGACACATCAAGGTGACCGGCAGTTGGGAGGTCATAGAGTTCGTGGAGAACTGCCGAGCAGAGGTGTTTTGGAATGAGGAGCAGCTGGGCTGGTTCATCTGGGTAGAAGTTCTGGTGGTATAGGACACCATCGTGGAGGACTGATGAGCGATAGGACCTGTCGGAAAATGGTGATTCGAGATGTTCGAACATAGCACTCAAGGATGCTTCATGGCGTTGCTCGTCACCAATGCAGGTCAGTTGCGAAATGGAGAAGATGCAATTATCTGTGTCGGTGTCAGGGATGGTGCTCAGTTCATCGACCGGATAGCGTAAGAGGCAGTCTGCGTCCTGGTGTAGGCGTCTCGACTTGTACGTGACTGTATAGGTATATTCTTGCAGTCGCAGAGCGCAGAACCCAAGCCGGCCAGTAGGATCCTTTCAATTACGAAAGCCAACATTGCACATGGTGGTCGGTTATTACAGAAAAATTCGTGCCTTATAAATAAGGGCGGAACTTCGTGGCTGCCCTAACAAGAGCAAGACATTCACGCTCTGTTATTGAATAGTTGCGCTCAGCAGCTGTGAGAAGGCGGCTAGCGTAGGTGATAACTCGGTCGTGTCCTCGCTGGATTTGCGCAAGAACGGTTCCAATTTCGTGACCACTCGCATTGGTTCTGACTTCTGTCGGAGCGGACGGGTCCAAGTGGGCCAATACAGGTGCAGTCGTGAGGAGGGTTATGAGTTGAGAAAAAGTGGCAGCTTCAGTGGAACCACACGTAAAAGTCACGTCTTTCTTCAGAACGTCGGTGAGTGGTCGAGCGATCATTGGAAAATCTTTGACAAATCTTCTAAAATAGGAACAAAGTCCCACAAAGCTGTGCACGTCCTTGACAGGCTGGGGTACAGGAAAGCTCGTGACGGCAGGAATTTTCTTTGGGTCAGGCTGCACATCTGATGCATCGACAAGGTGGCCCAACACCATAATCTGCTGGCAGCCAAACGGCTTTTCGACGAGTTTAGTTGAAGTCCAGCAGTGCGGAAGATGTCGAGAACCACCGACAAACGCTGAGGTGCGTGTCGAATGTAGGCGAATGTACAAGGACATCATTCTGGTAGCACAGGCATGTTGACCACTTGAACCCTTGTAATAGCGAGTCCATAATACGCTCAAACGTGGCTGTGGCGTTGCATAGCCCTAATGGCTTCACCTCGAATGGGTATAGGCCGTCGGGAGTTACAAACGCAGTCTTTTCTTGGTCTTTCTCGTCCACCGCGATCTGCTAATAGCCAGAACGTAGGTCAATGGAAGAAAAGTACCGCGCGCCGTGGAGACAATCGAAGGCGTCATCATTTCGGGGCAAAGAATAAACGTCCTTTTTCGTGCTTCGATTAAGATGGCGGTAATCAAAGCAGAAGCGCCACCTGTCATCTTTATTTTTAACGAGCACAACAGGAGATGCCCAAACGCTCGAGGAGGGTTCAATAATTCCTTTGGCGAGCATCTTATTGACTTCTTCCTGAATTACCTTACGCTCTATGGCAGACACCTGGTATAATCGGGAGTGAATGGGAGGAGAATCAGCAGTATTAATGCGGTGCTTCACGAGGGAAGTCTGACCGAGCGGACTGCTGTCGATGTCAACTATTTCGAGGTAGGAAGCCAGTGGGCGGAATAGGGAGCCGGATTGCTCAGGTTTGAGTTCCGGGTCCATCATGGGGCACAAAGCCGCATCGACGGATGTGGAATCCTGCGGGTGACATGGAAGATCGGAGCATGCGTATGCCGAAAAAGCGGTGAGGTGGGCGTCTATTAAGGGTCGAAGCGTAGCGACTGAAATTCCGCGTAGTAGTACTTGCAGCGTGAAACCGAAATTGAAAGTGGGCAGTCATGTTTGGTTAGAGGCCATAGTTACGACGGAGTGTGGCACAGTGATGTCGCGCACCATGAGAACATTAGGAATAAGCGTGACGACATAATCACCGTCAACAACGGGTGAACATGTTGCCAATTCAACTAATTTGAGGGCTTTGGCGGTATCCAACTGAAGTCTGGCACAGAGGCTTTTTGGCAGCTCAGGGCGAGAATCTGGAAGAAGAGGACGTTCTAAACAGAGAGTGTCGGCGGTACAGTCGATCAGGGCAGAATGCGTCAATAAGAAGTCCATCCCGAAGAAGAGGTCATGATGAGGCAATTGTCGAGCACGGTAAATAAAACAGGAACATGGCGGCCCGCTAGGCTAATACAAGCGGTACACATTCCAATGACGGCCACAGTTCCACCATCGGCGACACAGACAGCTTGTTTTGCCGCAGGCATCAGTACTTTTTTGAGGTGGCGACAGAGACGAGCACTTATTATAGACACCTTAGCTCCAGTGTAAACTAAAGCCGTCAAAGAAAGACCGTCCACATGCACTTCCAGCAAGTTCTTATTAGTAGAGAGCGTCAACGGAGGATTTCGGTCAGTAACACTTGATGCAGCACTACCTCCCGAAGCATTAGCGCAAGCGCACAGCAGAAAACTCTGGGACGCTGTTTTCGCTTGCTCGCGAAAAAATAAACCACACTTTTATTTCTTTTTCCTTTTAATAAATCAGAGGCCCCCTTAAGTAATCACCATGACGCTTTGCATTCGCAAGAATATCTCTCGTTCGATTTTGTGCACACTCCTTCTTGTCAGCCATACCTTTGGCAGAGTTGATGGCACACGGTAGCGTTTGGTCACTGCCCATTTACAACTGCAAAATACAAAATAGTATTCATTAGTTCTGGCGTCAATATATCTGAATAACATTGCTATCAAACTACGCATGTTTTCCAGGCGCAAATACTTGGTCACAATCATTATCATCTACAATAAAACGAAGCACTCTACGTAATTTCGTTCTTTAAACAGCGCATGTACATTGAAGCTATCCGACAAGTGTCAAAGCCAACTTCTCAGCTCTGTGCAGTTCAGAATATACATATACCTTTAAAAAATCTCAGGTACTTCGTGAGTATCATGTATCTGTATTCCGATAAATCTCGCAGGGTGACTTTTTATTTCTGTTCTGAAATACATTCAATATTGTTGCTTGATGCACAAGATACTTAAACAGGAGCAATACCGTGTGGAACAACAACACTTTTCTGAACACCGCTTCTCAAGCTAATAGCGCTTTCACTAAGAGGCCTGAACTAAGCTAAACACAGTGACCTGTGGAGCGTTCTACTTTACCATAGCCTCTGATGTACGGCTATGCGGCTTGAGTGGTAGAGCGTAGAGTAACATAAAAATTACAAGAGTGGTCACCCAGGGCCAAAAAGCGGCGGAACTACGGAACTTCCCCCCAGCCGTAAGATGGCAAGACATATCTCACTGCTTCTAGGAAGCAAGCGTACTAGTTATTCACTACAGTACCTTTTTAGTGCATTATATGTCTACGTGTTTTTGCGTATGTGATAGTGGCCTGAATCCGTCTTTATCATCGGCGATTCTACGGTCGGGCGGGGATCAGGCATGAATAGGATGCGAGAGAAGTGCGCATGACGCGACGGCAACGCTGTCATGCTCCATGTTCATGAACACTTGCGGCTATGAAGAAGCACGGTTTGCAGCTGGGAGATGCCATAAAAGCTGTGCGATAACGTGCCGTGCGTGCGTCGTGGTTTTCGATTGTTTCATCTGTCTCTCAGCTTGGCTGCTGCTTGGTACGAACGCCAACAATGCTAAGTGCGAATTGCATTTTTCATTGAAGCCTGAACCTAGCGTTTCTGCAATTGTGTTTTTTGGCGCAGATATCTTTTTTTTGTGCTTTTCATTTCGCGTACTCTTTTCGTGGATTAATTGCTTCACACAAAGGAAAACTACTTGAAATGCTTCACAGCAAGTTTGCGAAAAAAACTCCTTCTTTGCTCAAGAAATTGAGTCACCTCTCACGTTGTTAGGTTTTTTTTGTGCTGCTACATGAATTCGAATTCACTGCATGAGTGAGATTTTGTGAAAAGTGCAACTATGCTAAGTGTCGTTGTCTGTGCTGTGCACAAATTTCTTGAAGCTCTAACGAGAGCAATACGAGAAAAGTGGTGAATATAGAAAAATGTATGTTAGCTTACACTAGAACGTAACCTTTGGGTAAGCATTCCTGCCTCGTTAGCAGCTTGTATGACTCCTAAAATTGCTTAGTTTTAGCTGTGGTAACTTCTTGTGACTGCTTTTCGCGAAAAAGCAATGTGAAGTGTGTAGGAGAAAACTAGTGCGAAGGTGGGAAAGAAAACGTAGCCAACATTTATCTTTTCTTTTTTCGGTTCATGCCGGAGTCAAGCGCTGAGGCAACTACTGCCGTGTCGCATTCTGTACTGACTTGATTGGTTGATATGTGGGTTTTAACATCCCAAAACCAACAAATTATCATGAGAGATTCGTAACGGAGGGCTCCAGAGATTTCGACCACCGGGGGTTCTATAATGTGCACCGAAATCTGAGCGCACCGGCCTACAGCATTTCCGCCTCCATAGGAAATGCCGCCGCCAGGACTCGATCCCGCGACCTGTGGGTCAGCAGCCGAGTACCTCAGCCACTAGACCACACCGGCAGGGCTGCATTGTGCACTGTATGTGTAATTATGTACACTTCTTGCAGTTTTACTCTGCTGAAGTTCTTAAATTGCTGTCTAGATATATATGTCTTGTGTGTAATTTAAAATCATGATATGGCGGTTGCAAAAACAAAAGGAAACATTCTCAGACAAGAACCTTTCTCGCTTCAGCATTGCATTATATATGGCCTAAGTCGCTGCTTAGGAGAAGATCGCATCAATGCACTGTGATCTCCGTCCTAAAAATGTCGTAACTGTAACAAGTTTTTAAAAAAGGTGTTCTTCTTTAGAATTTCGGGAATTATGGTCCCGGCTGATGCGTTAAGCACTGAAATCTTGTTCCTCTTACCTGGCAGCTTCGCTGATTGTGTGAAAGTGAGCCTGGCAGGCCTACAGGATATTAGGATGGCAGGCCTACAGGATGGTTTCATCGGGGTATTTCCAGTGAAGCCCACGTGGCCATGTTACATCAACGGAAAGCAAACAGCCAGACCCGAACTGATTTGAGGTGCTACGAATGTCAGCAGATGGGGGCTTGTGGTAGGGCTAGGCGAAGCGCGTACGTTAAAAGTGGTTGGTTCGTCACCTTTTCGACGTGCACATAAAGTTTCGTAAAATTATTTAGAGGAGAATCTGGCACTACGATCGTTCAGCGACCATGGTGGTAATTATGCTCGCTATAGGGAAAACGGTGACGGGCGAGAGCGGAGGGCTGCACGATTTCACAATGAACGATGGCGGGCACACCAGATGGCGCTACCTGCGCAAAAGATTCTTGGGGTGAAATTGGCCTGCTTTGCACATAGCCGCTGGACATTAGTTTCTCTCATTTTAGACAACCGCTTCCACACCACGCCCGACTTTTTATGGTGCTACGTGTTTATTCCGCTAAAAAGAATGCCTTGCAAGTTCTGCGTGGTGCCAAGCGATTGAAAAAAAATTGCCCGCAGCTTCCCTCGGGGGAACACTGAGAAAGATGCGGAGCATATAATTGGTTAACGGGGTGTTAAAGTGGAACTTACTTGGGTCGATGGCTAAATTGGTTAACGTGGTTTAGAAATGGGGTGTTAAATTGCGACTTACTTGGGTCGATGGCTAAATTGGTTAACGTGGTTGTAGGAGGGGGTGTTAAATGAGTGAACACGTACACACGTATGCGAAAGGCCGGCGCTGGTCGAAGGGACGTCGATCATTGTGTTTGTGGATTCGTTGGAATTCATTTCACCGCGACCTTGGACGTCGACGCGCCGCACAAACCAACCGACGAGTGGCAACTGAGCGAGCGAGCGCCGACCTTGAGTATATATACAGCGCGACGGCGCATGCACTGTCAGCTGTTGAATGTTCTCGAAGCGCGACGGCGCATGCGCGTCCACTGGAGAATCAGGAGAATTGTAGAATGTTCTCGAAGGGGAGAAGCGCGCGCGGCACAGATGGTGGGTGACGGTGCATGCGCGCGTCAGCTGTCGAACGCGGTGTGTAGAGGAGGAAGGGTGCACAGATGGTGGAGGAAGGAGGAGGAAGCTTGCGGACGGCCCCGCACTACAAGCCTCGAGTATTAGATGTTCCGCATCTAAAAATAAAAAAGGAATAGCGCGAAACGCTTCATATTCTGACAGAACTGGCATGCCACACAGACCTGTTCAGCGCCTGTCCTATGTCGTTAAAATAGCGTTGCGTTATTTTGGCGCTGCTTTTACTGTGTTTTATATGCTTCAGCTGATTGAAACCACTAGCTCACATGCATAGATAAACTGACTTTAGACTGCTGTCTCTCTTGGAGAGAGGTAAATTCTTTGCAGTCATTCATAGTGAGTATATTTGGCCGAGGTGTTTTTGCTGATTTTATGTCTCCCTCCCCCGTCTGCATCCACCTTCATTTTTCATACTTATAAAAGGTTGGGTGCCCTTCAGCATACAATAATCAAATCATTTGCATTTTCTCGCGCCTTTTTCTTTTGAGAAACTTGGACAGGAGATGAGGACGTTGTATCTCGAGGCTATGTTTTACAGTGGACATATTTTCTTATTTTAGCGATCATTCTCTCTATGATAAAAAATTACATTTGTTAACCTATTGTCTAGATCCAATATAAACGCACGCAAGGAAAATTTGTACTACGTGTTCATTTATGACACATTTGTGATCACATACTTCTGAAGTATATTTGTTATCTCATGCTTTCCTATATGAAGCTTTAAAAGGTTAAATTACTTGAACCTTTTCAACTTCAAAGGCTTCTGGCACTCCCTTTGGACACTCGTGTCTTATATTGCTCAGAAGTGCATATGCGTGTGCAGAAAAAAAACTTGAATACTTTTGCGGTCAGTTCTTTGCTGTGAATTTTGCTGTCAACTCTATCTAGCTTCATTTAGGAGAAGAACTTCATGAATTCACGCAAGCTGAAGTAATGCAATTTTGCAGCAGAAAAAACTAAATGCATTTTCCGCAGTTTTCATCACTGTGGCCAGATTTTCACAAAGATACAGTAAGCCTCCCCTGTCAAATGCATTCACTAACTCACTGTTCGGTGCCCCGCCGCGGTGGTCTAGTGGCTAAGGTACTCTGCTGCTGACCCGTAGGTCACGGAATCGAATCCCGGCTGCGGCGGCTGCATTTCTGAATGAGGCGGAAATGTTGTAGGCCCATGTGCTCAGATTCGGGTGCACGTTAAAGAACCACAGGTGGTCAAAATTTCCGGAGACCTTCCCTACGGTGTCTCTCATAATCATATGGTGGTTTTGGGACGTTAAACCCCACGTATCAATCAACTCACTGTTCGATGTGACAATTACTCCGAATTTTTTGGAGTCAAGAGCGTTAATATACTCATTACAGAAGCTTTTGTTGTTGAACGTTTTAGCAACATAGCCAGACACGAAATAATTGAGACAGCTGTCCCTTTTCTGAACGACATAGCTACTGTGATCATCACCTAAAGACAGCTGTGTGGACCTAACGCTGTCAACATCTCCAACTTCCAACATGTATTCTAAGATGTCTCGTATGCCGAAAATAGAATCACTTGAGGCGGGCGACGGAGTGTGAAGAAGAGTTTTTATAAGCTCTGCAAAGAAGTTCCCACTCTTGAGTAGTCTCGCAAGGTTATAAACAAATGAGCAATTTACAGTCACCATGAACAGTGAGGCATTCACAT